ATTCATAAATTAACGGGGCATTACAAAGTGTCTGGCTGCTTGACTCTCTTGCAGTTCTGGATATACGAGTACTTCCCCACCTTCCGACCCCAGCGAGCGCATATGGCCCGCGAGCCTGGCTGTGTCGCCCGATCAGCCTTGTGGAGCGTGGGGGTGAGGGAGAGGTACGTTAAGTTATTTTATTTACATTTAGTTCAAAGTTATTTGGAATAATCGAATTGTTTCAATAAATGTTTTTATGCAATTGTGAACAGGTGAACTGACTGCCATACGACCGCCAACCACATGACCTTGAGCCTAGAATCCTTTATTTCGGATGCCTTAGGTACCGAGATATTGTGGAGCCGTACATGTCTCTGCACTGCTTGCGTCAGTTGGGCTACGTCTAGACTGTTCCTCCCCGCATAGATCGTCCGATCAAGGCAGTCCGTGCCTGAAAGTCTAGGTTGTACAGGGTTGAGCATGCTGATACTACTGCAGTAGATCACTGGGACCAGTTCCCGCTACTGCATTCTGTAAACTTGACTCATTGTACTCCCACCACTGTAGATGATCCAGGGGAGGCCCATGAGCAGTACCAGCAATGGTATGCTCAGTTTTCTCATCCTAGACTCTTGCCTGACAGTCTGCCCAATGACGACGCCGTCCCTGCGCGCGCCAACACCGATTATGTAAGTCGTTTACAAAATTTTAGTTATTGTGCTTTCATTACAATAGTAGGTCGTTTTTTAATATATACGTGATAATATTTTTACTTTTCCCTTTATGTGTAGTGGGTGAATCGTTTATTCTCCGCATCATCAGACCTCCTACAAGATTGCGAGATTGTTGATCCTGCTGTGGCGGCGCGTCATGCAAATACGCTGGCCTTAATTAAGGCGAATTGGGAAAGGGCGCAGCATTGATGTAATAAATGTTTTTTTTTTTGTTTTTTATACTACATTCCAACAAAAAATTTCCATAATATCACGACAAACGGTAAACACGGCCAAATATAACAATATATAGTTCATAATGCAGATTAATATAATGAATGTCATCAATCGCAACAAACATAAGTTCAATATCATAATATATCAAACTCCAGCTCCTCTACGAATATGCTGCCACAACTCGACCCTTCTCCGATACTGATCATCCCATTGTGCAGCCGTCCCATCTCAGCATCTCTCCCAAAGGTTACAAATAGGCGGTAATGGACAATTAGATAACAAATTCAGACAAATGAAGTGTTTGTAAGAACCAAGATGACCTATGAAGATCTCGCGATCAGGTCCTGTAGCCATGGATTGTGCGCGCAACGGCAAAAATGTCATACTATTGAAGTCGATATTGTCATTTCTGTTACCACTGCCTAACAACACGACAACTGCATTAAATAGTGTAGCAATTGCAAAGAAGTCACCTACAACTTCCATCCAATGCTCCTCGCCACAACCTTCCCCGTCCCATCTTATTCGATCGAGTGCGGTGTCGATGTCATGGTAATACACAGGATCGTACAACTGTCTGTTGGCTGCAATCTCATTTGCAATGTTCGTTCTTGCCACTCGCCACATCCTCTGGTTCCTATACATGTAACTCGCAACCATCTGAAATTCGCAGTTCCCATCCGACGTCACATCCAGATAGCTCTCTACGTAGGGGTGAACTACGTAGGGAATTCTATGATAATGCGGATATTCGTAGAAAATCGTCGAGAAAGTATCTGTAGTATCATAATAATTTCGAATTTGCAAACATAATTAGTTATCGTTCAGATAAACAAATAAATAAGAAAAAAAAAATCACCTGTCGGCTCATATGAATGTTGAGAAGATGAGCTTGTCGGTGCACACGAAGAATTGCTCTTACGGCCCACCGAACGACCTCTTTCCATGTAATCCCATATCGATGGAGCACACGAAGAATTGCTTTTACGCCCCACCCGGCGACCTGTTTCGGTGTATTCCGATTGCGATGGAGCACACGAGGAAGTGCTTTTACGGTGTCTTTGACTGTACTCCCATTTCGATGGATAGCGCTTTGTTGAATTGGGCTTCTTGGGCCGACCTCTCAGATTATCCTTCACTACAGGTTCTTTGTAACCTTGTTCGTCAGGGTGAAGTTGAGAGTCGATGAACTAATTCACGTACCGCAGCGTCGCGGGATCGGCCGCTTCAAGCTCCGCGGCAAGGCTCCAAAAATAGTCACGATCAGTCCATCCGCTCGCCGATGCACTCTGTTGACCTGTCCATAAATTTTTTTTATAAAATTAAACAACACACTCTATATTTTGTACATGATGTTAGGATAAGTTCTATAAATTAATCAATCTCGTAATTATACCTGGCTCTATCACCTCTAGTGTGTTCCAGAACCTGTGGATGAGGTCGGTAGTAATTTCCATATCTATAGTGAGTGCCTTCCTTAGCTCACAGACACAAGGAAGTCCATGAGTGGACCAGAGTACACACCCGCAGCGATCCGAAAGTTCTTCGCTCAGGCCTCGCATCCTCTTAAGCTCATCATTCAATAAATCCATACAGTAATGCGAGACCCACAATATCAACGGCGCGAAAATGAGTTCCTTGTAACTTGTATGCATCCTAAGTCTCGAAGACTCCAGCGTGTCTTTGGTAATACATTACATAACATTAGACCCAAATAATTAATGTAATAATAACACAGTAAATATGTATAACTTAAGGAATATACCTGACTTGAGTCAGTTGAGACTCAATCTCCTTGTGAATCTTCTTCCACACCGTGTCGAGCGAACCGGTGGACGTGTTCAGCCACCGCTTCAACGTAGAGCAGGCACTCTCTACCCTACACGACGTTGTGTTGCCAAAATGTATAACAGTGTTCGTCCACACTTTCACAAAATTCTCTTTGTGGACTAACCATGTCTGCTCCACATAGTGTAGCACATCAGGAAATTTTACGTATGTAGCCTTCAAATCATCTATGGCAGTTTGGTATTTCTCCAACGTGCTCGCCTCGATAACCTTCTTCCACTTGTCGTGCGTGAACTTTTGAGCGAAGGCCCAATTCACTGTCAGTGACAATGGCTGTAGGATGTACATCAGGCGGTAACAAAAGTCTCAACCGCTGTAGGAACCCAGTCATAGCTGTACTCGGTCTCATCCTTGATAATTGCATACGCAATTAAGAAGTTCTTGTTGCACGGCGTCATTCCAATCATTTCCACCAACGGCATCTTGTACCTGTGCAAATGAAAGCAATATAGAATCAAAAAACTTATTCAAACATACTAATTAAGATTCACACGAAATTGGAATCTAAAAACTTATTCAAACATACTAATTAAGCCCGCTCATCTGTCAATGACCCTCGGGATTAACAGCCAACGCATGATTATGCTTTCCCTTCTCATCATCAAAAGGAACCAAGATATACCATTTTTTGGATTGGTCTTCAAATTTGACTCTTAAATGAAAAAGGCAGTTGGTCGCTTTAGTTTCGATCTTCTCATAATAGTATTAACTACCTCAACAACCTATTCTTTCCTACACGGCTTCTGTAACGTTCCCCCCGATCACACCTCAACAACCTATTCTTTCCTTCTTTTTCGTGTCTCGAGATGACCAACTGGAAACCCCATATCATTGCAATATCTTTTGCCCTTTCAATAGCTTTTTCACAACTATCAAATAGCTCAGTTGTTGTGAAACAAGGTCGGTAATCAAGACCGTCTCCTCCAAAATCTTCGACCGGCGCCTGCAATATATTACGATGTATGTTAATAATTTTACAAGATAATCAATTATAACTTCTAGCATAATATTAATAAATTTTATTTTTTAAGGTAATCTATTCTAATCTATAACTTAATAATTTATACTAATATAATTTTTTCATATTTTATTTAATTATATTTTAGACTAAATTAATTTATAATAATTATACTAATTACTAAAATAATGTATACTAATATAGTAATTACTGTAATTATTAGTACAATTATACTAGTAACTATACTAATTACTATGTTAGTATAATAAGAAATTATATTAGTAATTAGTATAATTATTATAAATTATATTACTATATAAAAAAAATATTAGTAATTACCATTATAACTTATAATAATTCTACCAATTACTATTATAAAACATATAATATATACAAACTCAATAATTTATACTAATAATTTTTTTTCCTATTATAATTAATTGTATTTTATACTATAATTTATAGTAATTATACTAATTAGTAATATAATTTTTTATATAATAATATATGCTAATATAGTACTTAGTATAAATACTAGTACAATTACAATTACTATATTAGTATAAAACTAATTGTATTAATAATTAGTATAATTATTATAAATTATATTACTCTATAATTATATTAGTATTTACTATATAATTATATATATATATATATATATATATACATTAA